GTCTGTGTAACACTGAGCTCATCTGTGTAACACGGTACACATCTGTGTAACGGAACACGTCTGTGTAACACTGAGCTCGTCTGTGTAACACTGAGCTCATCTGTGTAACACGGTACACATCTGTGTAACGGAACACGTCTGTGTAACACTGAGCTCATCTGTGTAACACGGTACACATCTGTGTAACGGAACATGTCTGTGTAACATGGTACAAGTCTGCGTAAAGGAACACGTCTGTGTAACACGGTACACGTCTGTGTAACAGAACACGTCTGTGTAACACAGAGCTCATCTGTGTAACACGGTACACATCTGTGTAACACGGAGCTCATCTGTGTAACACGTACAAGTCTGTATAACACGGAGCTCATCTGTGTAAAACGTACAAGTCTGTGTAACACGGAGCTCATCTGTGTAACACGGTACACATCTGTGTAACGGAACACGTCTGTGTAACACTGAGCTCATCTGTGTAACACTGAGCTCATCTGTGTGAACAGAGAGCGCACACACGGGCAGCCCCTTCTGGGTGTTTCCATTTCCCATCAGCTCCATGGCATTCACTCGCCCCGATGGGGAACCATGCGGGCGACGCCAGCACTCGGACGAGGCTGACTGGGGGTTTACGAGGGTCCTCCCACCTGAATTGGGCGCATGGCTTCCATGTGGGACCTGGGGACACTCAGGACCTCACAGAACCAAGGCCCTTTCCGACGGAAGCGCCTGCGTTTTTATTATTTTTTGAATTATTAGCAGCAGCAGCACTTCACCTCGGACGCGTAGTACTTGGCCATGGCCGCCTCCTTGATGAACGGCTTCCCCGCCTCCACCAGCCGCGCAGCGTTGTAGGTCAGCAGCCGCGCCGCCTCCAGCTGGGTGGCCACCTGGGCCACCTGGTGCTGCAGCCCCTGGACAGGAGACCAAGTTAGAGAAGGCGCCCAAGTCCCGCCAATGGGCGTCAGGGACTCAAACATCCCCCAAGGAGCCCACACTCATGTTGTAAAAATACTTCACAACCTGCCGCCTGCACGGCATGTGTTGCTTAAGAAGTTTTTCAAGTTCATGTAATTCTGTATCACTGTCAAGGTTGAAAAAATTAATGATCACCAAGTTAACTTTAAAAATTTGAGTTATATTTAATAATTACTTTCAATCTTTTTTATGTTCAAGTGGAGGTTAAACAAAATTCCAAAAGAGCAAAATTTTGAATATACATTTTCATTTGCTTGAATTAAGAAAATTTTCATTCCCATCTAGTTGCTCGAGCTTGCGGTCTAGAGGAGGGAATGATGTTACCTCAGGCAGAGCAAAACCAATTGCTCTACTGAGAGTAAAGCTTTTAAAAACGACCAACTTGAACCCAGGCCTCACACAGACATAAAACTAATAACTGCTTTTCGTGATCAAACTTCTAAGTTTTCTTTTAATCACCCCGAGAAGCATCTTCAGAAATGTCACCCCTGGCCCTTCCTCCTCCCCATGTCCATGTCCGTCGCTTCCTGTGTGCAGAGGGACCACACCTCCCTCACCCCTGTCCCCCGTCTGTCCCTCTGCTGCTGGCTGGTGTGGCTGCTCTGAGAAAGTCCTCGAGGACAGAAGCTGGGACAACAGATCCTGTAATTCTGATACCACCCCACATGGCCCTGGGAACTCGGTCTCTGGGCAGAGGCTGGCGGTGGTCACATGACTGTGGGAGCCCTGGGAACTCGGTCTCTGTGCAGAGGATGGGGGTGGTCAATGACTGTGGGGATCCGGCCAGGCCTGCTGTGCTCCCACTTTGCAGACCTTGACCTGACTGTGCACCCCCAACCCGGGGCTGCTGCATGCGTGCGGTGCGTGTGCTGGCACGATGCCTGGCAGCACCCCGAGACG